CAACAAAAAGTTTATAAAATAGTAAATATAGTGAGAGATAGCTTTTGTAAAAAGGCATATTTTCTTTCGCTTTTTGAGACACATTGTCTTAAACAATGTTGAAGTTGATATTTTTCCCGGGCCTCCCGATTTCACAGCATCCTTATTTCTTGTTCTTTGTATTTTCTGATTTTCCTGCCGTGACTATTTGTCCAGAAACAAAGAGTTTTCTTTGTGTTCTTTTGTTGCAGTTTTGGGATCCAACCCAGGGTTTTGCCCATTCACCTGCTTACTACTGAGCTACAGTCCAGGTCCTCCCTTTAAAAAAAAAAAAAAAAAAAAATCATTTATTTACTTTTTATTTTTGAGACAGGGTTTTGCCTGCAGTGTAGGCTGGCCCTGAACTCAGTTTGATCCTCTTGTGTCAGCCTCAAGATGTGTGCCACCACACCCAGTCCTTTTAAAAAAAATTAATATTTACTTACATGTTACTCCCAGAAAATCAGGGAGACTCAGAGTAAAGTCTAAATAATTGCAAATTAAAGATTCTCCAAGATTGAAGAATGTGGGAACAAGAAGCCCTTAGATACTGAGTGTATGTGCAGGGAGGTGGGGGTTGCTGTTATGTGGTGAAAATGCAATTAGAAAACTAATTTGCTAGTGAGTCTGCAAGTGGAGCCCCTCCTCCTCCTGTGCTTTCGGGTTGTGAAGAAGCAACTTCCCTATGCAGTTCAGGCTGGCCTTGAATTCACCTCCTGCCTCGTCTGCTAAGTGCTGGGGTTACAGGCCTGCTCACTCATACCAGCTTCTTTCTTTCTATCTATCTATCTACCTTTCTTTCTTTCTTCCTTTCACATTCTGACCATTTATTTGCAGCAGACGTTTCACATCCACAACTCTCTCCACTCAAAAGTTCTTGGACACGATGCCTTAGGCCTTGGCCAATCTTAGAATGCAGTCATCTGATTCACCCACCCTTTGAATAGCCCCGCAGATAGTGTAGGTTTTAAACTGGCTGTTGAACCTGCCTGTGACCTTGTCGACCTTGGCCACGTTCATCCGGATGGATGCGCAGTCCTTGGCACCAATGATGTGGTTGCTGGTGGAGCGTTTGTGCAGCACGTAGGAGTCCATGAACTCGCTGGCGTGGTTCTGCATGGTGCGGCCCTGCCCATTGCCTCCACACAACAAGCCCGAGCAGAGAAAGGTAGTCCCCTTCTTTCTAAAGACCCTTCTCTGAGAATTCAAGGTTTAGACTGATAGCAATTATGCCCTGGGCAGGAAGGGTCAATTCAAAGCACAGAGGAAGAGATGAAAACTCCTTGCCCTTACCAATACTATTTTTATCTCTCTTAGCTAAATTTGACCTCTAGTTTCCTCTAATTTGTTTATTCTCTTTCCTTTAACAAATACTTAAGCACTGTTTTCTTGGCTGATTAGGTCATGGAGAGAAAAAAGCCCTGCCCTGGGAGCTAAGGGTGTAGCACAATAAAAAAAGCCACTCCCTGGCAATGTTAGTTAGAACTAAGGCAGGAGGGTAACAGTACTGTGGTCATGGTCAGGGTCAGAGCTGTCCAGCAGAGCTTTCTACAGCAAGGGAGTTATTCATTGTGTGCAGACTGACCTGAGTAGCTGTGTCAGTCCATTGTTTTACTAGAGAAACAAATAGAATACAAGACATACAAATGCATAGGGATTTACAAGACTGGCTTACACTGACCACCCAGAGAGTCGGATAAGGAAGTGTGCAGAGGGGGTGTGCACTCAGAGACCAAAGCTTTCAGCCCAAGGACTGGAGCTCACTGCAGTGAGACTGATTGTGTATGGGAGGCTGAGGGGTCTATGATGGAAGGCCTGAGGGTCCACACCCGAAGCAGAAGACTCATGCCAGAAGCCAGGAGTCAACATCCAAGCTGAAGAACAGAAAAAGACCCAGCCTTCCTCCTTGCCCCTTTATGCCATCCAGGCAATGAGCTGCCCTTGGGTGGGTCTTCCACCCTCCAGTGTGGACAATTGCTGACCTGATTTATTTAGTTAAGCTCAGTTTCTTAAGTTAATACAGTCAACCCACCATTACAGTAACCATCAGCCAAACATGGCTAACAAGTATTTGAATTGTGTTTAGTACAATGAAGGAACTGAAATTTTAATTTAACTTCAATTGTAATCAGTACAGCTGGTTTGAATGATACAGGCCTAGGTTCCAGAAGGGGTTAATAATTAAATAATGTGAATTGATAAAGGAAGGATTTGAAAAACTGAGAACACAGAAGTATGTCCTAAGGGAGAATTCATGAGCTGTGCCCAGCTCCCATTGCAAGTGAGACAGCGTTTGGGGTCTAGATAGGAGACTGAGCTACTCTCAGGGCAGAAGGCACAGCTGACAGCTCGGACTTGAAGTTGTAGGTAACCCTTTACTTTTTCTTTCACTAGTAGGGATTAAACATAAGGCTTTCAGGTTTGCTCAGGTCCACCACCAGCTCTTTTTGTATTTTTTTTTTTTTTTTTTATACAAGGGTTCAATAAACTTCCCAGGTTGGGTTTGAATTTGCCATCCTCCTGCTTTAGTCTCCCAAAAGCCCTGGGATTATGGGTGTGAGTCACCATACCCATTTAAGAGTTATTGATTATTTTCTGATCTGTGGGATAAAAATAGCTCTTATCTTCTGCTAGGCATTATGTTGAGTGCCTTACATGGATGACTGCATTATAACAACAGCCCTTTGAGGGGAAAAGACATTTAAACAAGTGACTGAATTTATGAGGAAGATCCTTTGAGCTGGGTGCAGGGACATACACCTGTAAACCCAGCTACTGTATTTGGGAGACTGAGGCAGGACTGCAAATTTCAGGCCAGTTCAGGTAACTCAGTGAGAACCCTTCTCAAAATAAAATTGAGGGCTGGCCAAATAGCTCAGCTGATTGAAGTGCCAGGCAGCACAGGGGCTGGGTTTCTATTGCGGGACCTGCCGTGCCAGCCCCACCCAGCCCCCAGGGGGTGCTGAGATGGCAATTGAGACTGGGCACGGTGGTGCACGCCGGTAATCCCAGCTCTTGGGAGGCTGTGAACAGGCAGATCACTATGAGTCCCATCAGTAGTGACACTTTGAACACCCTGTAGGCCCTCCCCTAAAATACAAAAATAAATAAATACATACATAAATAAATAAAATCGAAAAGGACTGAGGATGCAGCTCAGTGTGCCCTGGACTCAACCCTCAGTCACACACACACACAACCCTTGGGGGAGAGGGAGGAAGAAGCACAGATTTATCTGTGCAGTTTGACACTCGATTTAGGGAAAGTTTCAGGAAGGTTAAATGGGGCGGAGCCCCTCCCCCTAACACTCCTAGCTAAGTCACAGGTGGGAAAGATCAGGACAGGTGTGAGAGGAAGCCAGCAGGCCCCAGGGATGTCTTGGAAGAAAGGACTCTCGGTTCTTTGGGCATATGAGAGTTAACACAGAGTACATGGTAGATGGACTTCGAGAAGAGCCTTAAGGTTGCTGAAGTTGGATTTTTTTTTTTTTTTTAAATCTTAGTAAAGCAGGAATCAGGGCCTTCTGCCAAGAAAAGAAAGCAAGATGGGGCGAGGAGGGGAGGAAAAGGAGATCTGTAATAGCATCGGCTGCGACCGCTGTAGTAATCATCATCCCCACCAGTGGCTATCGTGTGCTTATTATAGGCAATCTCACACATATCTCATTTAGTCTTAACAATAGGATGAGACATAATTTTCAAATTGTAAGGCAGGAAACTGAGGCTCAAGAAAGGGTTTTACCTTAGGGTTGGGTATAAAACAGTGGCAGTTTTTGGCTAGCATGTAGTAACAAAATTGTCTAACAAGTATAGCAAGCAGGTTGAACACAATACGTGTTGTAACAGCTATTGTAACGGGGTGGGGTGCAGAAGGCAGAGGTCCTTCATATGGTCGGGGGTGGGAGACCCCTCTGCTAAGGGGACACGTGAGCTGAGAACTTGAGGATGAGAAAAGTGGAAGCGTCTTCCGGCCCCAGGAAAGCCAGGTGCAGAGGCTCCGGTACAAACTAGATGGGCACCTCTAAGGGTGCTCAGGTAGCGTGGAGAGCTGGGGGATACAGGCCAAGGTGGGAGGTGCGACGGCAAACCCGGGAAGGATTTGCGCCAATCGGAGTCAATGAAATCGCGCTCCCACGCGGCAAGGGCCAGGCTTGTGCAGCTCGCCGACCGGGTGCTGTCGCTGCGAGAAGCCGCCCCGCGCAGGGACGGGGCAAGCGACCCGGACAGCGTCAGGTCCAAGGGTCAAGGGTTAAGCCGGCGAAGGGCTGGGGGAAGAGGGGTGTGACCCTCTGGGTGTCGCGAGCGCCGGGCAGCGTGTAGAGCCTGCTGGGTGAGGCCACCCGCGAGGTCCCTCGCGTCACCCAGCTTCCGGCTGGGCAAGCTACCCCGCCCGCGGCACCGCTGCCCCCGGCGAAGGCGGGCTGGCTTGATTTTCAGAGGGGGAGGCGGGTCCGTCTATCAGAACTTCAGGAGGTCGGACCCCTTTTTCTTGAGAGCGATGAGGAGATAAAATTAAGTACGGTTAGAACGAAGTCATATGGAAACTGCTCTTTTGATTTTTATCCGGTTTTCTTCTCCTGGCCCTCCAGAAATGAGTGGCTTCCCCGTGCGCTCTCCAAGTCACCCCCTCCAACAGCGAACTCATGGTTTCGCCCCTCAACCCGGATTGGCTGAGGGTTTACGCCTCGACCAGGGATTGGAGAACAACAGTTTTTACCTAATCCCTGTGTGCCCATTAGCTGGTCGTCCCCGTTTCTGGGCGGAGTGGTCGGGGACGGTTTCCACCCTCTTGTTTACGGAGCGCGTAGTTGTAGGTCTGGGGCTGTCTCCAAAGTTCCCTATTTAGCTCCTCGGACCAATTGGGGCCTGGCTCCACCCTCTCCCTCTCCCTCGCACGCGTTCCTCGTGGTACGGCCCACACTTTTAGAGCGGCGGCGCGTGCGGACGCCCGTCGCTGCCCCCCCCGACGCGCTTGGTACGGCCCGTGCTGCCTCCTTCCCTCCCGCGGCTGGCGGCGCCCCTCCCGGTCCGAGGCGCTTGGTGCCGCCCGGGAGAACCAGGTCATCGGTCGGTTCCCGTGAAAACAAAAACAATCGGCGGCGCCGCGGCGGGCATCCGAAGTCAGACAGTGGGGGCTGGAGAAGCGGCGTCGGTGGGGCGGGCAAGCGAGTGAGCGGGCGAGAGCGGCGGCGACGCGCCGGGGCCGGGGCGCCATGGGGCGGGCGGGCTCGGGCTGCGCGGGGCTCCCCCGGCTCCGCGGCTAGCGCACCCGCCGCCACAGTCTCACGCACCGCCCGCCTGGGGGACGAGGAGCAGGACGCGGCCTCGGGGGGGCCCGGGCCGAACGGCTGCGGACCCCCGGGTGCCGAGGAGCCGGGCGCCGCGGCCTCCGGCATGGATCAGTGCGTGACGGTGGAGCGCGAGCTGGAGAAGGTGCTGCACAAGTTCTCGGGCTACGGGCAGCTGTGCGAGCGCGGCCTGGAGGAGCTCATCGACTACACCGGCGGCCTCAAGCACGAGATCCTGCAGAGCCACGGTAGGGCCCCGACCGGGTCCCTTCTCCCCCGCCGGCCCCCAGGCCCGGCGACTTTGCCCTCCTCTTTGCGCCGGATTTACCTGGAGCCCGCGGCGTCCTCGGTGCTAAATCAGAATGAGCGCGAGCCCACCCGGAAACGCGGCCCACAGTCGGGTTCAACGTGAGTGGGGAGCCCTTGGGGCGTCCTCGCCACGTGCAAACTGCCGCCCGCCGGGGTAGGCGCCTCTCGCCCTTCGCCGGAACGAGGGTCTCGGGACCCAGGTACGCGGATGACACTGGAGCCAGGGGTCCGTTTGCGGGAAGCCGCTTGGCCTCGCTCGGCCCTGATTCTTGGCCTGGGGACCTTCTTTCCAGGTCTTTTTGTTTGTTTGAAAGTCGAATGATATTCTTAGCTGTGGGTTAGCAGGACAGCCGCTCTTCAACTTCACAATTGACTCCTGTGTGGGAGAAGCTTTTCTGAACTCCTAGGCGGCACTGACCTGATTCCTAAAAAATCAGGCGAATCAAACCCTTGATGTCGCCTCTGATGAGACCGAGAAAGCCAGCTGTGACACAAGTTGTTCGTTCGTGCCTTCCCTGATCCTGTTTACGCTTGTTTTCTTTTAAGAAAGCCGATTGATCTGTAGAAAGTGTTTTGTTTTACAGTATTTGGTAGTTGTTCCCGGCCGTAGGGACCGATGCAGTGCATTGCCCGAGTCAGCTTGTGGAAGCCCGCCTGGGAGAGGTTTTGTTTGGAGTTTTTAAAACAGCATGAAAGGGCTATTTGCTTCACGTTAACGTCAGTTAAAGGAAGCTTCGGTGGGGCAGTGGTAGGGGGAGTGTGTACATTTGTGGAGGATGTTCTGCATTCCCCAGGCCATCTTTATCCAGGTGAATTTCAATGAAATTCTAGTGCTCCTTCACGGTGAAGCAGCCTCAACTTCTTACTCTGGACACAGCACTTTGAACTCCCAGGATGAAGCATCCGGCAACCGTGGTGGTTGAGTATTGGAAAACCATTGTAACTAGAGGAGTTGCAATAGTAATGTGGGGATGGGGAGCAGACGTTGTGAACAGAAATTTGAACTGGTGGTGAGGATACAGTTGGTTCAAAAGGCGACTGAAGCCGAGATGGGAGGGGATCCTTCAAGACTAGTGAATTCACTTTTGGACACGCAAGATGAAGTTGAGTTTGAGGATATCTAGGGTGTGAGAGATCCATAGGTCTGAGACTGTTTTCTAGAAGGAAAATGGCAGGGATCACGTAGAATGCGAGGAGGAAAACCCTTACTGTCCAGCGCTAGCTGTGGACACCCCCTGAAGAGTGGGAGGCCAAGGCAGAGCGCAGAAACAAGAGGAAGGCTCTGGAAAAAGGTTGTTCTGTTTTCTTTTGGCTACTTGGAGGAGGCAGGGACCATCTGTGCTTGCAGTTTCGTGGAATTGTTAAAGCAAGTGAGATTACCTGAGGTTAAGAAGAGAAATAGGGTGGAAGTAAACCCTCCAGTGCAGTGGCTGAAGACATTCCTTCCCTCCCTCTCCCGGAGGAAATCTGGGTCTTGTTTAAGGCAGAACGGGAGGAACCAGTGGGGGAAGAGAATGAGTGAAGGGCTTGGAGGTGGAAGGAACATTTCTTTTTGGGGACCAGGTCAGACATTGAGGAATTGGATGGACAGACTGTGAGATGGCAAATAAAGCATCACATGTAATTGAGAGGCAGCTAGCAAGGGGTGTGGTTGTCAGGTTTGCTTTGGGAAAGTTAGGGCTAATGCCAGTTGAATGAAATGATTGTGAGGAACTGCTGAGACTAGAATTTGTTTTAAACCACTTGGCTTGGTAAAAGTTTCAGAAATTCAAGGCAGAGATGGTAGATATGGAGAAGTTAGTTAAGGCCTTGCATTTTGAATTTCAAAGGATTGAGTAGGCTTTCAAGAAATGGGCTTGTCACTGGTGTGGTGATGCAAGACTGATCCCAACACTGGAGAAGGGGGAGGCAGGAGGGTAGAAAGTTCCAGCCCAGCCTGGGCAATGTAGTGACTTAGCCAGACCCTGTCTCAAAATAAAAGGATCTGAGCATGAAGCTCAGTGTAAAGCTCTTGGGCCCTGACTCCAGTATAGCAGAAACAAAAAGGAAAACGTGACTGTCAGCAAACATGTAAGGCTTGTGCCTATGTTTTGATTTTTCCTTTCCTTTTTTTTTTTTTTTTGATTGCACTCACCTCGTGCTCACCAGTAGGCATTGTGCTGCTGAGCTGGATCCCTGGATCCCTGGATCCCTGGCTATGTTTCCTTTTTCTTTATAGTTCTTGCTTCCTTAGATTTTGGCGCCTTCCCCTTCTTGTGACAGAGATTGAGCTTCTTAGTCTGTATCATGTAATTTAGCTCTTACATACAAACTCTCTTGTTTCTTGGGTTTGGTTTGAGACTCTTGGCTTGTGATCTGATGCAAAGGTCTTTAATAAAGTCTGGATCCTAACGCCCATCTCTGTGGCCACCATTGTGTTCCAAAAGGTCAGGGCTTGACTGCCAAGCCCCTTTCTTTTACTTTGCAGATTCACCAGCCATTAGTGACTGAAAACAAACAACAAAAAGTTTATTTTGTTTTCATTGTGTGCTGCCTGAAGAAAAAAGATGAATGTGCCCTGTCCCGATGCGCCCTGTCCCGATGCACCCTGTCCAGATGCGCCCTGTCCAGATGCGCCCTGTCCCGATGCGCCTGTTCTTCCCACTGAGAGTCTGTGAAGCAGCTGCCTGTGTCCCGGGGCTGAGCTCGGTCCCGAGAAGCCCAGGACCTCTGGGCCGCGGCTTAGTCTGCTCCCTGCAGTGTGATCTCCTTTGTTATTAACACCACGGCCTCACCTTTCCAAGTTTTTCTGTTTGAATAGGTAGCCAGGGTGTCCTTGTTCATCTTGTTAGTGGCTTTTCATGAGTTAGGTCGGTCCTCTTATCCTTTCTCTCCTTATTCCCACTAAATTTCTGGTAGCATGTGGGAATGTACCTTGAACACTGACATAAGCCTTGGCTTTTTGTTTTTTGTGATACCAGGGATCGAACTTGGGACCTTGTGCTTGCCAGGCAAGCACTTATGCCAGGCAAGCACTATCTCCCTGGCTCAGTAAATGTTAATTGAATGGGAAGGTCGTGGTTCTCTCTTTCAACTTTTCTGTTTTGTTTATAAGGTATTAAGACTTAGAAGATGGGATGATATAAAAGTTTTTCCCCTAAAGCCTTCATAGTGATGCTTAATATTCTTTTGGCTTTTCAAGTTTTAACTTTTTAAAAGGAACTGATTTAGAATGAATTCTGGAGCACAGCTCTGAGATTGGAATTTTCATATAGTGCAGTTTGGATTATGATTCATAAATGGATTTGTTACTGCCCCCCATCCAAACTCGAGCTCCATTTTGTTTCCCATTTATTAAGACCTCTGTCTATTTGGTGAAAGTAGAGTTAACTTTCAATAATTCACAAGAGCTCAAATGCAGCTAGATGTAATATTTATAAACTTGGGTATTTTAAATTTTTTCCTTTCTGTAGGATATTCATAAAAATGTTGAATCAGGGCTTAGCAGTTTCTGTCCATTTTTACCAAAATACTCTAGTTCTTAGGTAGTGAAGTTTTTAGGCTTTTTGAAAATCTAGATCATCATCTCGGGTATTGAGAATGCTTTTTTGTGGTGCCTCACTGTTTCTGAATGACCTTCACTATGGTGCTTTCATCACTCATGAGTTTGTCTCTTGGGTAGCCTGTTCCTACCACACCACCACAGGCTGATGGTATAGTAAATCCCTACCCCCACCCCCCAACCAGGGATTGAACTCAGGCCCTTGGACTTGCCAGGCAAGCGTTTGTTCTATTGAGCTATCTCCCCGGCCCCATAGTAACAGTCTTAAACATTCTTTTATAGACCAAATTGGAAGTTCTGATTACCTGCTGACTGGCAGACATTTCAGGCTATACCATCCTGCCAGCCCACTCACTAGCTGTTGAGTTTTAGCAGTGCTACATTTCAACTGTGTTTGTGCAATTGTTAAAGGCTCGCCTCCAATCCCCATACCATGAAAATAATATGCACACAGAAAATTGGAAGTATCATTACTACGTAGGGATTTTCAAGAAATGTGGTTGTCAGTTTTAATGACATTTGATTGAATTTGTTTTGGTTTAATTAAGTGGTCCAAAATACTGAGTGAATCTTGTCATATAGTTAGATATGTGTTGTCTTACGTCTTGTGACCAGTAAGGAACATTTATATATGTTTAAAAAATGCTAAAGCTATATTACAGGTTGGTTTTAAAAGCAAGATATAACTAGAAATTCTATCATTTGTAGCTTTGTGGAAACTTTGTACATCTGCCTTCGAACATTGTACTTATTTTTTTGACTTAGGATGCACTTTTATAGGAATACATTGTGTATTAAAATTAAGATGAATTTCATTGCATCTTCATTGCCTTGAACTAGCTTACTTTTTACAAAGAAACTGACTCAAAAGCAAGGAGTCGAAATCTAAGCTGTTGAAATCCAAGGGTATGGAAGGGGGGTGTTATTTGGAAAACAGAAGAAATTTACAATGGGGGTGGAGAAATTGGGTTATTTTATGAAATGTATCTTTGATTTTTTTTTTTTCTTCTGTATTTTAGGGAAGGGTCTACAGGGTGTTCAGGGTCTCACTACTAGATTAGATTCACAGTGATCTGCCTGTTTACTGCCTCCCAAGAGCTGGGATTACGGGTGCATCCTGAGGCGGGGCCAGCACAGCAGGCTCCTGTGCCTGCTAGCAGGTGCTTTAATCCTTTGAGCTATTTGGGCGGCCTTGTATCTTTGAAAATTGACATGTGTGCCCGTGTGAGTGTGTTTATATACATACAAAGGTTCCTTGGAATTTTTAGTAATTTCATTGGCAAATAGGAACACATTCCTAATTTATTTGGTTATCTGGAAAATTGTAGGCTGTAGGGTTACTGTGTAGTAGACACTAAATACTCTAAGAGCAGGGGATCAGTCAGTCCTAAGTGAGAG